CTTGACTATCATTAAGTAGGACCCTAAGGGGTTTCTTTGCACCATCTTTCCTACGTCCAGTAAGACGTAGACAAATACGCGCTCGCACTAGAGCATGATCTGAGTCTAAGCATGTGCTCCACAATGAGCGACAGTCTTCTATCGGGCCCCTCCATCGGTGGCTGATAGCGAATTAGGGGGTCTCCATGTTAAAAGATGTTTTTCCTTATGCTTAAAGTTAGTGTTTGCAAGAAACAGGCGGTTATCTGAGCATAGCTGCAACAGACGGTCACCGTTATCTGTTCTTTGAGCCGCGACACCATAAGATCCACCCAGGTGTCTCTCCTTTTCGCATAGTTTACCTACTTGAGCGTTAAAGTCACCAGCCACTATTACTACATCTGAACGCCTAGCTTTTCGGAAAAGGTCGGAAAGCTTTCCGTAAAACTCATCTTTTACATTATCTGAGCTGCAGTCAGTGGGAGAGTAGGCAGAGACGACGAAGAGGCAACGACGAGTGTCCCTATCTTTCCGAGTCCTTACTGTTCCGTTTAGTCGGACAGCGCATAAACGACTGTCTACTGGGATCCAGTCTAAGAGAGCTAGTACCGCCCTAGGACTCAATGATATACCTACGCCAGCGAGGCCACGGGAAGCAGCATCAGGGCTTCCAGATACACGAAGCGTAAATCGAGTTGGTTCGTTACTTTGACATGGTGCGGTCAAATGAGTGACACCACTAGGATCCTGTATGCGCGTTTCCGAGACGCAGCACACATCGATGGAGCGAGATTTTAAAGTCTTAGCTAAGGAAGCCTGTTGTCCTATTTGGCACAGTGTTCGGACGTTGAAAGCTTCTATGTGTAGTTTAGAGCGTGGTTTCAGGAGACCAGGAATAACTTTCCACGTGCTCGAATCGTTTGCACTAGTGGGGCAAGGGGATAAAGGGACGTAAGAAGGGTTAGTCGTGGAGATAATAGGGTCATTAAGAGGTGTAGGAAGGATTTGAATGTGACCAACGTGGTCTCGTGTGCTGTTACGAGTATGAGGGCTGATGTCACTTTCCGGCTGCCCACACCGTGGAAGTGTATTTCTTGAGGAACCTGAAAAGGAAATCGGATTAGCGTTGGTCTTAACGACCTGGGAGCGTGACCACAGAGTCCAAGGGACAACTGCTTGAGGTCGGTCGCGCACGGCTTTTTTGTGGGACGTGTTTAATGTGTTAGCTCTGTTCTCCAAAGGGCCTTACCGCCGGAGACAGAAATCCGTGGAGTAAGGTGAGGTGTGACATTTTTAGAGTCGACCTTCTCCAACCCCTTCCTTCCTTGTGAGAAGGCAGCATCGCTGCAGATGCTGGTTGTCCGAGGGAAACACTTTGCTGCTGTCACCCCTCTGTACAGTCAGCAGTACGACTTCGCCCTCAGATCTTGAGTTGCTGCTTTTAGTCTTAACGTTCTCCAATCGACCTGCCTGGCATGGTAGAACTTGCAGGAACATGTGTTCCAGCCAATATAGCTCGGTCGGGGTTCACGATAGTCACACGGATCCTAATTAAGTAGTCTACATCAACCAACATGGCTCAGACCAGAAGTTAGTGACTTCAAGCACTGATGCCACGTTTTGGTTTGGCCGCCCCTAACTTTCTTCCAATTATCCCTAACACCGGTTAGCATTGCGCGTCGTGGTAATCGGTGTTCAGGCATACACAACACGTGGCCCAACCATCTCAGTCGATGAAGATTCATAACCTCATCAACTGATTTACTATCATTCCCTAATACCCTGCGTCTAACCTCACTATTACTTACCCGGTGATCCCAGCAGATGCGAGCAATATTTCTAAGGCATCTGTGGTCAAATACTAGTAACTTACGAGTATCTTCTACTCTTCAAGGCCATGTTTCGCAGGCGTATAGTAGAACGGAACGAACTGCCGCGCAGTATACTCGTCCCTTAATTGATAGACGGATATCTGGCCTTCGCCATAGATGAGACCAACCCATTAGGGCTGATCAGACTTCCAAGATAAGTGAAGTTGTCAACGCGTTCGATTACTTCACTCCCTATCCTTAGTTCAGGTGTTGACGCAGACCAGTCCTGAAGCAACAACTTGCATTTAGAGGGAGAGAAGCGCATCTCAAACATTCTGGCATTGTTGTTCAGTGCTACCAAAAGACTCTGCATTTTATCAGCGTCTTCACTAAACAGGACTGTCATCTGCGTATTCTAAGTCAATAAGTACACCTCCTGGTAAGAGAGCAATGCCGGAGAATTCAGTCGATGAAAGCGTTATTTCCATCAGTAGATCTATGATGAAGTTGAACAAAAATGGAGAAAGTGGACAGCCTTGACGGACACCACTTGAGGTTGCAAAAGCGGATGACAGTTCGCGAAAAGCTCTTACTCGACTAGTAGTGTTCGAGTAAAGAGCTTGAACAAGGTTTATGTATTTCTGAGGTACGCCTTTCAATGACAGACACTGCCACAGAACCTCTCGGTCAACAGAGTCAAACGCTGCTTTTAAGTCAAGAAAGACCACCATTGTCGGACGCCGATAAGTATGCCTGTGTTCTAGAACCTGACGAATGGTGAATATGTGGTCGATGCAGCCACGACCAGGTCTGAAGCCAGCCTGATTTTCACGTGTTTGCAGCTCACGAGTCTTAGTTAGGCGTCCGAAAATTATCGAAGCTAGTATTTTAGATATTATATTAGTTAAACTAATCCCTCTGTGGTTGTCACAGGATGATTTTGACCCTTTCTTAAGTATTGGAACAATAAGTGATTGTGACCAGTTAGATGGGATAACGTCTAACTCCCAGATTTTAGCTAAAATATTAGTCAACCTAATCGCTAAAACTAGACCACCATCCTTAAAGACCTCTGGGGCCAATCCATCTGGACCAGCTGCCCTTCCTCGTTTCAGATTAACTATAGTCTTTTGAACTTCAGCTAGATTTGGGGGACCTACTTCAATGTTCAGACGATCACCATTATCTGTTCGCTGTGCCGGAATACTAAAATACCCTCCTAAACGTGTTTCTGTTTCGTTTAAGCTACCTACCTGGGCATTAAATTCGCCTCCTACGAGTACTATGTCTGAACGTTTAGCTTTCTGAAGAAGTTCAGAGAGTTTTCTGTAAAATTCATCTTTCACTTCATCCGAACTGCAGTCAGTGGGAGCGTAGGCAGAAACGACGAAAAGGCAACGATGTGTTTCCCTATTCCTTCGAGTTCTTACCGAGCCGTTTAGCCGAACAGCGCATAGACGACTGTTAACCGAGATTCACTCTAATAGCGCTTGTTCCGCCCTCATGCTTAGTGCTATGCCTACACCTGCCAGTCAACGAGAACTAAACATCGGGTCGCCAGATACACGGAGGGTGTATCTTGTCGGCACTCCGTTTTGCCGAGGTGAGGTCAAGTGAATGACCACACTAGGATCCTGTATGCGTGTTTCGGAGACACAGCATACATCAATTGTACGAGATCCTAGTGTTTTAGCCAAGGAGGCCTGTTGACCGATTTGACATAGTGTGTGCACGTTGAAGGCTCCAATGTGTAGTTTGGAGCGAGGTTTCAGTAGACCTGGGACAGTGTTTTGCGCACTAGAATCGTTGGCTATGGTGACACTTTAGGAGGAAGCCGAAAGAGGGAGTTTAGATTTGAAAGTCGATGTAGGAGGAATAATAAGAATTGAAGAGGTAGGTTGATTATGAATACAGTGGTCTTGAGTGCTGTTAGAGGTATGAGGGCGGTTATCACTTCCCGGTTGCCCACACCGTGGAAGGGTTCTGCTGGAGGTACCTGAAAAGGAAATTGGATTAGAGGTGGTCATAGTGACCTGAGAGCGTGACCGCAGTGCCCAAGGGACAACTGCTTGAGGTCGGTCACACACGACCTTTTTATGAGTAATTTTTGTGTTAGCTCCGTACTTGTTGAGACCTTACCGCCGGAGACGGATATCCGTGGGATAAGGCGAGGTGTGCATTTTTAGGGTCGACCTTTTCTAACCCCACCTCAACTTGTGGGAAGGCAGCATCTCTGTTATGCTGGTTGTCTGAAGGAGACACCTTACTGCTGTCACACCTCTGTACAGTCAGCAGTACGACTTCGCCTTCGGACCTTGGATTTGTTGCTTTTAGTTTTACCGCTCTTCAACCGACCTGTCTGGCATGGTAGGACTTTGAGAAACGGTTGTTCCAGCCAGTATAGCTCAGTTGCTTCATCACGATAGGCAAGCCCGACCACCACGTCAAGGTAGCAACAACGGTCAGGTTTATTCCAAGTAAGGACCAGAGTCATAAAAGGCTGCTTACTCTCCCCCTTTCTCTTCCTTCTGGTGGTTGACTGGATTATGAAGACCACATGTGACTGGAAGCATGGAATACAATCGACAGCTTGCATGCAACTAAAAGATTCCGGCTTTGCAGATAACCTAGCTCTTCTATCCCATACACACCAACGAATGCAGATGAAGACAACCAATGTAGCGGCAGACTCTGCATCAATAGGCCTCAACATACACATAGGAAAAAGCAACATTCTCAAATACAACATAGAGAACGCTGACCTAGCGACATTTGATAGAGAAACTCGAAGAGGTGGACAATTTTGAGTATCTGTTTCAGTATCATCGATAAAGAAGGAGGAATTTGGAGAGAAATGAAAAAGAGGAAGGTCAAAGAACACACTGCACCGAGAATTGGAAGCAGACGTCAAAAAGATTAATAGCGACTGAAAATAATTGTAAAGGACTACTCAGGACATAGCTGAATGGAGAATGCTGATTGGTGACTTATGCTTTTCCATGAGGAGTAACAGGCCTAAGTATAAAAATTGATAATCATAAAATTTTAATCGCTCTTAATAAGTACGCAGTCCATTTAAGGTTAAGTCAATAACCTAAGAAAACAAATCAGTTTTTGTTAGTTCGTTTATCTATGCTTTTTTGAATAGGTTCTCTTACTATGACAGTTATGCGTTTAAACAGTGGGTTTTATATACTAATTTTATTTCAGTTTTCATCTATGACTGTCCATTCAAACGGTTCAGATGGTGGCGGTGCCAAACTTTATGTGCCTCCTCATTTGCGAAATCGTGGGACTTCAAATGGTCTCGCAGACTCTGTAAATGATTTTAGTCAATTTAGTCGCCCTTCCCGTGGTACTGGTGGTGATAACTTTCGTGGACGTCCTTTTCGTGGTTCTTATAGTAACAGGGGATCAAAAGTTGGGAATGAAAGGCAGCAATCTGACTCACGGTGGTCAAGCTTCAACGTGAAGTATGTCAATATTTTTTTTTTACTGCGATTGTTTGTAGTACTCAGTCACGGGGTGGTCATTCTACTTTAGGGCCTAATGTTCCCAGACGCAGTTGGAATTCATTCACCGAAGACTGGACTCAACAGTTGCCACGAAACGAGCGTACGGAACAAGAGCTTTTCAAGAAAGCGAGCGCGGGCATAAACTTTAACCAATACGACAACATTCCTGTAAATGCGACGGGGCCAAACTTTAACGACAGTGCATCAACTATATCTTCATTTACCGAACTTTCACTTCATAAAATTGTACGTGACAACGTCGAACTGGCCAATTATGAGCGTCCTACACCAGTACAAAAGCATGCTATTCCAATAATTGCATCAGGTCGAGACCTAATGGCATGTGCACAAACTGGTTCAGGAAAAACTGCTGCATTCCTTATTCCAATCTTAAATAACATGATTAAACAAGGTCCTGGTGATTCTATATGCGCCACTGTAAGTTTGTTACGCTTGACAAGTTATTTAAGTAGATAAACAACAACCGAAGAAAACAGTTCCCTGTAGCTCTTATACTGGCTCCAACTCGCGAATTAGCATCTCAGATTTTTGATGATGCCCGAAAGTTTTCCTATAGATCTCTTATCAGACCATGTGTTCTTTACGGTGGTGCTGATATGAGAACGCAGTTGATGGAGTTGTCCGAAGGCTGTAATCTATTAGTTGCCACTCCAGGTCGACTAAGTGATGTTTTAGAACGGGGTCGAGTCGGCTTAGACCATTGTCGGTGAGTTTCAAAGTAATGTGTAATTTTCCATAGGTTCCTTGTTCTTGACGAAGCTGATCGTATGTTAGACATGGGGTTCGAACCACAGATTCGTCGTATTGTAGAGCAAGATGCTTTCCCACCTTCCGGCGAAAGACAGACACTTATGTTCTCGGCAACCTTCCCCAATGAAATTCAGGTACTTACAACTTCTTATTGTGTTTCTTTAGATTTTAGCCAAAGATTTCTTAAACAATTATATATTTTTGACCGTTGGACGTGTTGGGAGTACGAGTGAAAATATCACGCAAACGATACTTTGGGTTGAGGAAAATGCTAAACGAGATACTCTAGTCGATTTGCTTGCTCATTCAGGTTTTCCAAATAATAATTTCCTTACATGTTTAATTATCCAGAAGCAGGTACACTAACATTAGTTTTTGTTGAAACAAGACGGGGTGCAAATGCTCTTGAAAACTATTTATACTCACAGAAGTTTCAAGTTGCCAGTATACATGGAGATCGTACTCAGGAAGATCGGGAATTAGCGTTGTCTTGTTTTCGTTCGGGAAGAACGCCAGTGCTCGTTGCAACAGCTGTTGCAGCTCGTGGTTTGGATATTCCAAATGTCAAGGTAAGTTTCTACCAATTCTTTGATTCATTAAAAAGCTGTCTTCAGACTTATATTATTTATGTCCTACTCTTGAAAGTTTAAAATTACCCATATTATTGCCCTCGAACCCTCTTTGACAATCCTATCTATTTGTTTTTTGTTTTTACATTGCTTAAACGTATTCTCCTTATTTGTTGAATGCTGCACTTGTCATCTATTACATATTTAACCCATTCACTATGCATTCTAATATAATAAGTTGTGTACCTACTTTACTTAAAGAACGTTCACCATATCAGTTCATTCTTGATAGAACTTCGATGGAACTATAATCTTTCCGATATCCTACGATTTAAGTGAGGGTTTTATTTGCGAAAAATATTCTCAGATTTCGGTGAATTCAACCAATACATTCATATTTGACATACGAATCTTGTGACCTCATACAGTTTACCGATTCATTTGCTTTAGTTGTGCGGAAAATATATCTGCATATTCGAAGTATAAATATGCTTGCGAATTATGATCTATTAATTTGAATTATGGAAGGCCAGTTCATTTAGGCGAACCCGCAATATAACAGTATAAGAAGTAAAGGAACCGAAAATCCGGCACATCTATTCTACTAATATGTATGTACCTATTTCTACACAGCACCAATGGATCATAAATCTTGATACAGTACCACGACTGAGGCATTTTAAAACAAAGCAGTGTGAAGATGATATCACATGCATTTGCGACCACACATACTTGTCATCAAAACAAACTTTGCTCACTCAAAATCCAATATTATCACGTTAAAAACGGAAATGATTAAGTACTTCCGGCTTTCACATGTCCTCTACACGTGCGGAGTTATACAACTCAATCTACTGGACATTTGGACTTCAGTTTAAAAACACACTTCGACTATATTCCATGTGACTCAAACGTGCGAAAGTTAGGCAAACATCATGCAAAAATCCTATTATCAACCACCCTATCGGCCCTGATAGACTATTATTAACTCACATAAGGATTTAGATTTGTTTACTTGACTTTAAAACGCATTGGCGTGGGAGACAGTGATAATACGTAGTTACTAAAACCGAAATGAGTGGATCGTGGTTCAAACCTGCCACTTGTTAGCGAAAAGTCAGTCGCCTTAACAACCGATGAAACTTCTAAGTTCTGTTGTACACTTATTAGCCTATCCGCAACTAAAATGATGAATATCTCGTTTGAGGGTAAACTGTAATGAAGGTACAAGTTGACAATTGCATGCGTGTAAAGTGCAGTTGTCGCACCTATCCAACTACTAGTTATTTCAGTACACAACGCTGTGGTCGGTTTTGATCCCATCATCTGTAATCTCTAACTGTTGATTTACACCACTCCTAAGTTATGTTAGTGTGTGCCTCAGAACACATAATAGTCTCATTCTCAATACGTATGGCTTGTTACCCACTAAGAATGGACTCAGTCTATATGTACTAGCTCATCCTTTTGGCTTTCCGAGTTTCACAAATAACGTGTAAAATCCTACGTCTCTTTGGAATGTAAGTTTAAATCTTCATTGTTTGTTACATTTACAATACAGCACGTTATCAATTACGATCTTCCGTCAGATATTGAAGAGTACGTACATCGCATCGGCCGAACTGGTCGTGTTGGCAATCTTGGACTGGCTACTTCTTTTTTCAATGACAAAAACCGCAATTTGGCCCGTGGTCTAGTTGAGTTGCTTGAAGAAGCTAATCAAGATATCCCGCCTTGGCTGAAAGCAATTACAGGAGACGTAAGACCTACAAGTTTCCAACGTCCAAGAAACAATCGTCGGTAATTTTACAACTCATATCTGATTTCTTACATTGCACAAGTTGTCATGACTACTGGGCCGTCTAGATCATCTCGTTACGAAGTTAGGGTGAAGCATTCCGAAAATTCTGTTCCATAATAATACTACGTAGTGATTTAAAATATGGAGACGACTAAGTTTCATTTATCGTAAGGTTTAAGAACGTTACTTGGACACAATGTTTCGTAAGTCCATAAAAATAGTTACTTTCAAACTTGGCTTTACAATTATATTTTTTAGTGTTAAAACAGATAACGCCACAGGAAGTGGCAAAGTATCTGACTGAATTTGTTAAACCTGACAGACGGTAAATGCATCAACTAACAAATCACAGATAAGCTATCTTGGTATCGCTAAAATATGATTTCAGCCGACTGTCCAATGATAAGTGGATTGTAACTAACCGAGTTGGTAATCTACGCATTATTCCACAACGATGCTACTAGCTTCGAAATCAGCACCAAGTTGTTTGCCAGTATTATTGAATGGGTGTGCCAAATAAAATATATTTGACTCACGTCGAACCATTTAACTTGCAATTTCGGACTTGTACATTGATCCGTTTTCCATCCTTTGAATTAAGAGTGGTCATTTTGTCATAAATCACTACTGTTTGTTCTTTTGTTATATTGGTGAATATAATTAAACTTTTATTTCAGTGGCGGTTTTGGTGCTCGTGATTATCGACAAACTCCATCACGTGGTGCTAATAATTCTAATCGTCCTACTGGCCCAACGTCTAGAGACTATGGATTGCTTCGCGATAGTAGCTATTACGATTCCCAACCATGCTCGGTGTCACAGAGTTCTCCAGACTGGTGGGGCAATTAGCAGTCATAATTACAGATATAATTAACTACCATGAACACTACACATTTTGATCCTGTCGTTTTTTATAATTTAAATCATTTTCGACAATTTTTACATCAGCGGAAACTTGCTTTCATAATTTACTTTGGAATTCACGCCACCAAATAGGTGCAGTTATTGTCCTTTCCCAAATTTAGTTTTGATTACCAATTCAGTATGTGCATCCATGTGGGCATAATAGCGGTAATTCCTCATGGATATCATTTGTGAATTGCCACTGTTCTTTCCTAAACCTGCATTTATTTTTGTCAAGGTGTGATTTTCCCAGTGAATTAAGACGAGTTGAACCGCTTTTTGGTATTTGGAAAAAGCTTGTATTGATTAAAAAACTAGATTAAAAAATATGGATTTTTATTTGTATATAACTACTTGGGGTATCGCGCTACAAACGTAGGTACGGAGAATTTTCCTAAACATCCCTTATAGGTCATGCATCTGATTTTTCCAAAAACGGGCCTTTCTGCCCAACCTTGATCATGCACACCGCATATGGACCACATAACACCTGAAACATAGAATATAAAAAGAAACTATACAAGTCTTACCAACAAACCCATTCGGGTCGGAACCGTCGAGCGCGTAACGGTCGTTGAGATAAAGTGCTAACTTAAGAGCGGCCGACGGCCCAGATTCGTGCCACTCCAATATTTTCTTAGCCCAGTACATACGTAGAAACCCATGAAGTTTGCCTGACCGTACTAGCTGACGCTGTGCTGCATTCCATAGATCGTCTTTAGTTTCAGCTGCAATCATGATTTCTTCGCTATATGAAGGGTTGCGCTTGTCATGAGCATGTTGCGCGAGAGTGTCTTGAGCCCACTTCCACGCTCCTAGTAAGAAAAAAGCCGTTTGGTCACTTAGTGCTTGTTAAATACAGTTGCATCATATACTTGACTGGACATAGGACATTTAGCCTGTTTTAGAAATTAAAGGTGTCTGCACTAAATCTGCCATATCCTCGTTGACGCAGTCGTAATGAAAATACACGAATTCTCCTAACCCACCGTATACTATCATTGGTCACGTGTAACAATCATATAGCGACGGGGGGAAAATTGCTGTGCCATATACTGATTTTGCTTGCCAAACAGATGAATCATATGCTAATGTATGTAGTGATTGTAAACAGTAATAGTTATGAAATTTGCATCTAGAAAGCTACGTGGTCTACCTGAGTTTTTCTCAAGATTCAGACAGATCGTGAGCATTGCTCTCCAGTTTCTTTCAGGTCAACTAAAGATTAAGTATACACTTTAAGACACTAGGTTTTTTTAGCACGAATAAACTAGCGTTTCTTATTTTGCTGTCTGGAATAAGCTTTTAATTTGCAAGCACGTGATTAAGGGTCTTTGATTGTCAGCATGGCTGGAAATGATATTTATTTTGACAGCCGTACAGATTACACTCACCTTCAATTGAGTCATATTTCGGGTTGTAATAACAGAAATTATCCGAGAGTTCTCTTCGAATAAAGGCTTCCTCCACAAAGGCATCTACAGAATCTTTGTGCTTATTGCGCCAAAGTTTTACTTCCATGATCGCTCGTTGTGGTGCAATTTGACCTGATTCAATAAAGTATAGAAATATAGTTTGCAACAGACTTTTCAAATACGCTTGCAATCAGCTGAAAAGTGTGATCAGGGAATGCGGTTTCTGCAAACCTGTATTACAAGAAAATAGAGTGATATCGTTCCCTAAAGTAAAGAGAAGTTTAAGAAATACTGAGCTTCAATCACAAAGATTCTTCAAGTGTCATAATTTCACATCATATACGAACGGGATGCAGCTTGAAGAAAAAAAAGTAGCGTGGCGAGACTAATTTATGAACGAACCAATCAGATTTAAAGTAACATCTTGGATTTTAGCGCGAAATTCATTCATTCATCGGGCTCAATACTATTTCGGTATTACAGTTGATGTAAATTTGTGATGAAAACCCTAAGCCTAATTCCTAACCCAAACCATGAACTGTAAATCATAATTTTAGCGTTGCTCAAAGGTTTTCCATAAACTATAGGCTCACCAGTTGCTTTCTTATATGGTTTACGTCAAAAGTGCAGCGGATGCTCGTAAGGACAATCAGTTCATTGAAATGCGATTTGCCGTCAAATTTTTAAAAGAAAACTTTAATTCACCTCCTAATATATAAGTGTTTATCAGTCCTAAAATATGTAGGTAAATGTAAGTAGTTGAGTATGAAAACACGAAGTTTCCAAATGGTTACAGTATTCTAAAAAGCGAAGCTAAAGGCCTAATTTTGAGAATTCATTTTCGTAAATATTTCTGAATAATTGAGTCATTGTACCATCTAGAAAGTTAGTAATGTCTATCATCAAGTTATTTGACACTAACTAAGATAGTCTCCCCACTTTTGAGAAATTGCTTCACAAAACAACGTAGCCCAGCCAACGTAAAAACAAAACACATCCAGTTAATCTAAAAACCTAAACATATCCATAGAACTGAAATCAGTGGTAGAAGCGTCCGCGTAACTATCTCAAGTATGTACTTCCAACAGTATGTAGCTTCTGTGGTGGTGAAGTATACTAAGTGTCTTCAACGAACATCATCTTTCATTGATTAAGATCATGGTGAGTCAAAATTACACTGAAATACAAAGGCGCATATTCATCATAATAGGAATTGTGACAAATCAAATAACAATTACCATAATGAAACCATGGTGATAAGTCGCTCAAACAACTTTTCGTGGGGTCGTTACGACAATCAGCGTACTTAGACAGTTTTTCATAAATAAACTTGTGTAACGTTGCAAGACCTCCACTGGTTCCTGGAATCGCCCAATCAATTGGTTTAACTGATAAGTCGACCGGAAATTTTGATGTCCAATAATTCCAATCTATTGGCTGTATGGGAGAGGGCAGATTACACATGAAAATAAAATAATTTCAAGGTAAAAGCTTAGATGTCTCAAAAATGATTATAGACAGTACTTTGAGTTTTGATTAAAGTATGCACACATTAGGATGATTTTCTGTCATCTTCAAAAGCTATAAAAACTAACGCCATCATTTATAATCCGTACGAACTGGGCTTCTCTTGTTCATGTTTTTTGTTTTAAGAAGTGGCAACCACCTTTGGTTATAAATGTTGCAGTAATAGATAAAAAAATAAAATTCCTAAATAGTATTTAGTTTCACTGAAGGAGGCAACAAATATATATAGCGTGACCAATTATGTTTTATTGCCTGTTTCCCGTTTGTGAAAAGAACTGAAATATACAAAAATTGGCTTTTTACTTTGTGGATGTCCATAAAATTATCACTTAAACTAGCGTCTACAGATTGCGATTTGATTGTCTTTCGTAAACATAGTGGATAATTTAAGTTGGGTCTTTTTGATGTCAAGGAAAAAAAAGCACTACGTGTATTGTGATTTACAGACGAGATGTTATCTGAAATTACTCAGTTTTCCCTGGTTTTCTCTGGTCTAATGAACATAATAGTAAGTTACGAAACTGGATAACCGGTTTTTCTTTTGATAATATTCACCACGGTAATTTTAGAACGATTGTCTAACTTAGTGCAGAACAATATTTCTAAAGAAATATTGAAAAGTGTGTGTCTTTACATACAAATCTCTGCAAAAATTGCTTTAGAAGCAACCGAGGTTGAGGAGATATTGGGATACTCAAGAGATTCGTATCAAATTTAAACCGTTAGGTTAAGACACATTGACAGGTTTACAAGCATATTTATAGCATGTACTGTCATGATTTTCAAATTGGTTAGAACTGGAAACAATTATTATTACTTAACATTGTTCTGTCAAATGTGACGGGTAATTTGTAGCTAGTGTACATCACATGTTTCATTTGAGTTTGATATCAAGTTATTATTACATTTTCATCAGAAAATGAGTAAAAATAATACTTAGATACTTACTGATAAGCCTGATTGATGACAATAGGGATGTTTAGTCAATGGTGGGAACTCGGTCATTAAGTTGTTTGCTTTTTGATGTAATTTAGGTCTAATTGTACGAGCCGCATATTCTAAGTGATCTGATGCATGCCAAACAGGAACAACATTATGTGCATCAACCTTATAGAAAAAAAAGCATCAAAATGAATTGTTGCGTGACAGCATCAAAAACTAATATATATATATATATATATATATATACTACTCATGGTGAGTCTTGTAAAAATACTTTGCACTTAGAAGGTGCAACGTACATACCATACCTACGGACACTATTTGCCAACTGATTAAGTGCGGATTACGTGGCTTGGGTATTATCGCACAATAAGACAATATCATCCGCATACTCAAGGTCTAGGAGTCTTTCTCCAGGCAACAGATCCACACCGCCATTATTTACATCCACCAGAGCTGTTTACAGAACGTCGATAGCAAAGTTGAAGAGGAATGATGAGATTGCGCAATCTTCTCTAACCTCACTGCTTCAATGAAGAGAGGTAGTTGTATGCCCTCACTCTGCCTGAGGTGTTTGTACATATAGGGCACACCCTTCTTCAATAGACAATCCCAGAGGACAGTCCTATCCAACATATCGAAGGTAGCCCTGATGTCGAGAAACACTACGCTTGTTGGCCTGTGATAAATGTGATGGTGTCCTAACATTCGGCGAGATCCTTTCAATTGATAAGGGCAATCTTTTTCAAGATATAAATTTAACAACCCAAATTTCAAATTCTCAACTGTAGAAAAGTACACAATCGGTTAATGAATCAGAAAAGCAACATCTTATAAGAAAACTTGATTCGATGTACATTTCGATTAACTGTGAACAAGATCATGTTCATAATAGAAATAAACAATCCTATGGAGTGAAACACACTTATTTCAAAACTGTTAATACGTGCAAAAACTATTGAAAAATACTCCTTGGTGTACAAAAGCTAGACGATGTAAATATATACATTTTAAAAACCGAATGGTCACTGATAAAAATCAAGCAAAACTAAATATAATAATGAAACAGAAAAGAAATATTACAGGATGAATAGAAACAGTAAAGATATGTATTAAAAGAAAAAAAAACAGATACACGGAAGTACAATGTTTAAGGGTGGTAATGTCATTGAAAACTTGGTAATGGTACCGAGGTTCTCGTAAATCCCCAACAAAGATAAATAATTTGTAAGTGTTTGCATCTTCCCGTTGGTATCAAGGACTGGAATTGATTAGTCATATTTGAAATATGCGCATAATGCTAGATATTCACAAGTATTCTAGTGGCTAGCAGTGAGATCCAGGACACTCGATTCATCCTGTCTGAGACTAGTCGGTTGATTGTCCCTACAATATCGAGACGATCCGTTCAGGGTGCATATATATATCGAGTGACTG